GTGACAGAAACAAGGACGTAAACAGAGTGATTCATGAAATGTAAAAAATGCCGCTACAATTTCCTAAATTCGTCTCACGTCATAAACGATAACAATGCAACACATGTACCTCCTTGATTTGTAAAGGCCTATGACTTCGTAAAGGGGAAAGGTAATAGCAAATGTTTCTTCTGTATTAAGACGGTGATCATGCGTGCTAAAGAGTTGCGTCTGGAACCTAAGTTCATACGGATTCAAGAGGACACATGAACTTGGGTTCGGACACATCAACTCATAAGCAAATATGAAAGTGGTGAGGAATGGGGAAAGTGACCTGCACGTTGGCTATCTCTTCTCACTTGCCACAATATCTCCCTTGCACAGAACTTGCCTCGACCTCCGCGGAGGCTTATCCTATCGGGTGTCGGTCGTCTTTCCTTATCGCAGCCAATTTTCGGGGCGTGGAACGGACTTCCCGAGGGCGTTTTAATGGCGGACACAAAGCAAACCTTTAAGCAGATACTTAAGGTTTACTGAACAATAGCCTTAAAGCACAACGAAAAACACAAATATCGCTCTGGTGCCGAACAGGGAAGGTGGAAGTGCACCACTGTGAACTCAAATACAGTCCTTTGGTGCTGCCTCTCAAGCTATCACCGCCCACAGCCCAATGATCAGTACGCTAGCAAAAATGAAAAATGGAGGGTCATGAATGCGTTAGTTGTAACTTACAGCTTGCTGGCGTTAGAGCAAAAGTGTATGCTTCTTCACCGACGAAATCACCCTTCTCATCAACCCAACGTACGTGGAGCTCGTAAGAGGTAGATGGCATCAAGTTGGTTAACGTGTACTCCGTTTCATTCAGATAATAATGCGTCCAACAGTCCTCTGGAAGTATAGAAAGTGCGTACTGTAATGGAGATTCAATCGGCGGCCTCGGCAACTTCCACTGAACACGAACAGCCGTAGAATTGAGGATCTGCGCGTTCACATATCCTGGCGCAGGCGTTTCTGTAAACAAACGGGTAAAAACCGTCGTCAGATTTCGAATACCAACTGAACTTTTTTGTTTCCATTGTTATATGTCTGCCTCTTACGGTGCCTTAATCTTTCCAGTATCAGTTCTTAATGAACCTGCTTGCTGGACTTTAATTGTGCATTTGCTGTCGTTAAAGGTAATTGCAGCCGAGCCTGTAGTGACGCAACTCCCAGTGCAACTCTAAACCTCCTGTCTTTCACGACTGCTTGCACGTGCGAAGCAGGTTTTGCTGATCTCAGTTAGGTCTGATTAATCATCTCCCTGAGGCCGACTCATATATGAGCTCGCTGAAGGCTCTTTGATGACCTCCATGCTCTCACATTTTGGGATGCCATCGTCGAGGCTGCGGACGTGTCCTCCTCCGGCTGCCAACATCTACTCTAATAGAATACGAAGAATGCTGCAAGCAACATTTCGCAATTTAAATAAGACCGGTAAACAGTCGTAAAACAAAATTGCGTAGCGTTCCATTACTGTTTATCATGCGGTCCAATTGCAGTTTTTTTTCGGTCAGGCTGGGATGCCGGCTTTGTGGTGAGCTTCTTTTAGACAGCTGCGAAAAATTTGATTCTGTAAAAATGGCTGCTTAAATAGAATGCATTTGTATCATTATTTTACTGCCTTGATAAATATAATTTATTTTATTGAAAACATGCACGAACAAAGTATTTCTTGTACTTTTATAATCGAAACATAAGTATTCTTAAAAGGTTATACTTGCATAAAGGGTTTCCACCGATTTTAAAAATATTTTCTCATTTTGAGTTTTTTTACGTCTGTGCAGTCTTTAAGCATAATACATCGTGTGCTTCAATTTTTCAATGCTGTTCCTGATATATACAGCGTGGTCTATGCCTATTGCGAAATTCTATCAGAGCTATACACGCGCTTACTCAAATCGTAGGCGTGAACGTACTTTTCTTTAAACACGATGAACGCAGCATTCAGTTAATAAAACTTGAAACTTTTAAAAACCGAAGGAAACCCTTATTAAAGAATATTGTTTGAAGAAGGCGTATGTTGCTAGCACATTGCTACAAGAGACAATTCTTTCATGCACGCTTTCCACAAGTATATTTGAATTTATAAACTCCGTAAAAATCAATGCTAAAAATGCATGCTATTTCAGTAGCCATTTTTTTAAGATTGAACTTTTTCGCAGCCGTCAGAAAGAAGCTAATCACAATGTCGGCATCCTAGCCTGACTGAAAAAATTGAAATTGGACGGCCTGCTAAACAGTATTGTAACCAGTAGTAGCGAATAATCGAGTCCCAGGAAACAGTTCAGAAGACCAAGATGCCTGACGTTTCGGATTCCCTCGGGAATCCTTAATCATAGGTGATGATAACAAGTCATGGTCATGCGCAGATAGGGTGGAGACATGCACAGTCTGCACGGTATTTACCGTTTCGGATTCCCTCGGGAATCCTTAATCATAGGTGATGATAACATAGGCATTCATGCGCAGATGAGGTGGATACATGCACAGGTTGTACGGTATTTATATTTCCTAGTGGTCCTCCGCGTGTGTGTGATAATTTTTCACTTCTGTAGCCACCACTTGGGTCTTAATTAATGCAGTTGTGCCTTGACACTTCGCAGCAGACTCACTAACTGCCATAGATGCCATGTAAGCGTCAGTGTGTGCAGATCGTAGCGGATAGGACCTACCCTAATAAATGCTCCGAACAACAAATTTGTGTATGTGGCTGAACCCTATCACAACAAAACCTGCTTCACATTTGAATGAATTTGCCTGTGTCATTTTGGGCGAATGTGGTCACCAACATCTTGCAGTGAAACACTGTGGGATCATCAACCACGCTCAACATATCCAGCCCAGGTTTCCCTACAATCCCATTTTAATTTAAGCCACTGTGATCGCTCCTCCGATATTTTTTTGATTTTGTGCAGATTCGTAAAGCAAATCTTCCACGAGAACACCTTGTTAGCTAACTTAGTTCATAATAGTATTCTGCTGACCTTAATTGGGCTGGAAAATTGTGGCAGGTGTTGGGGAAATTTACAAGTGACTCTTCCGATATCGCGTCAGCCTGTCACAGTTATTTATTGACTTTGATCGAGTTGCTATAACATAACTTGGTCACGTTTACATTGGAATGGTTAATATATATATATATATATATATGTCAGTATTACACGTATGACTCAACACTATGTTTTGTCTGTTGGGGAAGACGTTATCCAGTTTAACTAACCTGCACTGTAAACTAACCGCGTTCCTCGGAGGGCTAGAAAATATAAAAGACAATATTAATTTTTACAGGTTCAATTTAATTACCAAACTTTATGACATAGACATTGAGGCATACAATTGTGGTAATGTCATGGGAGGTAGTCACATATATTTGCAATATTCTTCGAACGCCAGGTGTCGTTAGCGTTTCTAACCATGCACTTGGAGTCTAATTCATGAAACTTTGACCCATACAGTATATTACAAAAGAATATAAACAAGTCTTTCTACAATTCACATTTGTGTTAAGCAATAATCTTAAAACCTATAGCAGTCATTACATTATATGGACAGCAGACTAAACTCGGGGAGAATTTTAAATATTTTGGTTTATATGCGATCAATATTACCTCCTTAGCAATATAATATGGATGAAAATATTTTCAGTTCGGGAGCTTTCAACTTGAATTTTTGGAACTACTTTGAGGAGCATTTGAGTTTCTATTACGTTTGATTCAGATGAGGGAATACGTTAAATTCCAAAAATATTCGATAGTTTTATTTTATCACTTGCGTTAGTAAACCTTTTTGGTGTTTCAAGCTGATATTTCAGAAGGCACCTTCGTGAAATTTTCGCATATGTTTTACCACTAGCATGATCAGGTTTTTCTGTTTCTTTTCTATTTTCTGATGCTTTACTTGCACAAATCTTAAACTTCTACCAAAGTTATTCCATTGTCATCAAAATCGCCTCATCAGTACAGTGGGAGATTATTTAATCTAGAGGAATGACTGAAATATTCTAAGATTTAGGATTAATTCTGGTGAACGTTTTTCAATACCAAATCGTAGAACTTCCTCATTTGGCCACATAATGGAACAAATTATGGTTCAGTTGTAGATTATTAGTTTTCATTGGCCGCCGCTAGTCCAATTATTTTGCGGAGGAAATATGCTTAAGACTCACATTAAGCACCTACACAACACAAAATCATTGTTTTTATAGAATTGCTTAAATAGTTTTGCAAATATTCTATCCTTCAGAAATTTATTCAAAAGCATTGAAAATGTTGAACATAACAATTTTTAAAATAATTTTATATCAGACAACACTCGCTTATCAAAGAGAACTGCCGTGCATATCTTCCTTATTTGAACTTTACCAATAGATAATAAAACATAAGTGCTTTACATAAATTAAAATGGGTACTGCAACAACGAGTGTTGTGAATTGGCACTTAGAATTAATGTTCGACGTGTTTATAGATATTTCTCTACCATTAACATTATGAAATAACATTATTTGTACCAAACCTCGGTGAAAGTGGCTGCTATGCAAGAGTTCAACCGTGAAGCATATAATATAACCATGATGAAAATAATTTTATGGAAAGCTAGTGATTACAATACACTACTCCACTTTCATTGGTCAAAAATACATTGTGACACTTGCTTACATGGTACGTTCTTCGTTCTATCCACCAAATATTATTCCTATTTGTTCTCATGCCGTTTTTAGTAGGTCATATGATACAGTTACATGTACTAGCGTAAAGAGGAACATAAGATGATATAAAGACGTAAAGGTCACTTTCCTCAGTCTTATTTAACAGCAGAGAGTTGGGAAAATGCTTATAGTTCTATATTACAAAATAACACTTTTGAATTGATGACGGATTCAATGGGAATTTGAAATTACGCACAAAATGTAGTGCAGTAAAATTTATCTGGGCCCAACATACCGAGGAGAATTACAAACAGCAGAGATTGGCTCATCTTGTTCGGAGAGCAGGTTGAAAACGGGACCTAATTTACAGGACTTTTATATTGAAAATGTGTGACGACATTTGTTAACTATGTTCCTATAGGCAGAATGATGCAATCGATTCAGTGTGTAGGTGACCATCTGTCAATTAGACCCTTGCATAAACAAAGCAGAAACAAATCCTCCAATAACGACTCAGCACGCATTGCTATTCAGCCTTGCGTTTTTATGCCGTTTTTAACAGTCTCAAACAACTACGAAAGCGCTGACAAACATATAACAGATTCAGGTGTGTGGCAATCTTAGAGGTGTTGCTATGTGCAGTTGCTATGTAGTTAACCTCCTAAACGCTCAAATTTCGGCACAATTGGGAAGAAGCATCCAGTGTAGTTTACTCTTATTCTAAGACAGTAGTCTAAGCACGGGAATATAAACTAGAATGTAGACATACCTTCCTACCAAGTGTGCGAAATGTGATACTTTTACGAGTCCTTCCCAGCAAATAAAGTTGAATTCATAGGGGTATTCAAAATCAAATGCTAATTCATATTAATTTACGTCTATTTTCTGTGCAATACTGAAAAACTTAACCAAAATCACCCATCCGATTAGGTGAGAAGAAACTAAGAATGCATTGTAAGAGCGGTTTACTAAGTGGTGCCTTCTCACAGTTTGAAGGTTAGACAACAAATATTAACTTCAGAATTTTCAGTTTTTTTCAGGCCATTTCTAAGACTTCAAACAAACAGCTTTTTTAAAATATTTGTAAGCTTTGCTCGGCCGCAACTTGAAAACCCTAGACAGGCATGCAAACCATCGACTGCCAAACACTGAACCGTCTTAGTGAAGGTCCATAAGCAGCGACAAAATATGTCAAAGGTCTGGGAATACGGCGCTATGAGAGCAGACTGTCAACCCTCGATTTTTTTTCTTTCCTACAGAAAAAAATCGAGGGGATGTCATACGTTCTTTCAGTATTATGAATAACCTGGAAATGCGCTTTGTTCCTGACGATTTCTCTAACCAGGCTATAATGCCAACTTAGAGCAGTCATCCCCTTAAACTACGTCCCAACGAAGCAAGAATAGCTGGATGCACGTTGTCGGAGTTTGTCCATCCAAAATAAGGCCGTAATTTTTTTTGCGGACATGCACTCCGATGATTAATTCATTAACCAATGAATAGAGCTGTATGGTGCGTATATTCATCTCAAAGGAGAATGAAACACACGACAGCCGATCACTCCGGAATAACGCGAACCGCAAATGCAATTTTGCACCCACACTGGATGACGATTTATTCCCCCAGACTAAAGCAAATTAAGTTGTCAATTAGAAATTACGCTATTACGACTACTAATATTGTCCGCTTCCGACTTACGTGAACCGCATCTGTCAATAAGTGCTCACAAC